TTCTCTAGGGCAGGCTTCTCGATGTGCTTGCGAGAATTTTACAAAAATGCTGATTTGGCGACTATAGCGCGTATATTTCGCCACTTAAATGATGCGCCAAGCATGTGGACCACACAATTTTCTAAGTAAGTAATTAGAGGTTTGACTGATCCGCATGAAAGATTATAAGACCTAAACATGTTCTGAGAACTTTGGCGAAGTCGTCACTCATTGTGGAAAAACCTATAGAAAAGTTACCCAAGTTTATAAGTACCTTTTCCAGCGAAAATTAACAAAACCGATCTAATTGAATTTGAAAATAGAATGTTTGCGTGAAATGCATAAAGTCTAGCCACCCTAGCAGCCGTCGCATGCGCATGCCTGCTATACGATTTAACACTTCCGCTCCGCATTATGACGCAGACTGAGCTTCATTGTTTATCGACGTAACGCCGCTGAGTATCGGGATCAAGCCGATACCATAATTGACATCAGATGTTATGTCATGTGAAGTATTGTGATGACTACTGAACGGAATAAAAGAGATTTATTTCGTTTAATACTTCTTGTCGTGTCGACAACAAACCTACACAGTGTCAGCCCAAAACTCTACTACAAGAGTTGGGTTGCCAGTAGAATAAATCACGGTTACTTTGAAAGGGAAAATCTTCAGAAATATGGAGGGAGAAGGTAGTACATCCTCCGCTAAAGAAAATACCGTGATGGCCGTGAGGCAAAGGGTTATTCTTCCTTAAACTAAAATGCTATTCCTTTAGCGTTCCGGTCTTCCGTAAATAAACATCTGGATTTCGTCTAATTGCAACTATAAATGTCAGTGAAACCCAAAATAAAAAGAATTCCTGCGTGAGCGCAGAAGAAAGAGAAGATTTGCACCTAAAAATAATAACGATGAAATTAACTTCACTTGAATGTCTTTTAAACTGGAAAGACATTCTCGCACATTATGGCTGTTGCTGTTTCAATCAATTACTGAAAGAAATAAAAGACCTGTAAATGGTAACAATGAATACTGTCGTGAAGGTTAAAATAATGATAATGACTTTAAAATGCTAATTGCGTAGAAAATTGATAATAGCCTAAAACACGTATCTAATAGAGAAAGTGGGACCAACATAAAACTATTCGCAACATTGTGAATTCGTATGTTTGATTGTTTTGACATTTCTACGCCCACGTTTGGCCTCGAGTAGTTTGCAAAACAGTGAACTTACGAGAAGTAGGTCAACTTCATCATAAAACGTGATAAGTATGTACTTCATTCACGCTGTTTTTTTTGGTAGAAAATTATGCACTAACATGTTTTCACGACATTTTCCTAGTTCTGCGGAACTTACGCTATTTTATTTTAAATATTTCTACAGTTTAATAAAGCGGACGAACTGGGAAGGTAACTCATTCATTAAGTTGTATGAAATGATAATTCCAAATGCTTTTAGATTGTTGTGATGTTGCAGTTGAGGAATAGAACAGTTTAATACGTAAATGATACAAGATAGATATTACTGAAGTGCTAATTCTAGAAATAATCAGCGTAATAATTAATGTTTACAATGGCGCTAAGAATCAGAACATTGTAGACCGTAGACGACTTCAATCAGACGGAACTGGATAAAAGGAAGCTGTGCCCCAACTATTTGCATACGGAATGAAGTAGCATTTACTCAAGAGGAGAAATACATTGTAAGTATAGTTGTAAACAATCATGGCATTTATACCACTGAATATCTGAATCATGCTTCGAAAAATAAAATGAAAGAGTCAAAGATAAACAAAAAATATTTTGGTGTAATCAGCAGGCTTATAAATAAAGAATACATTGATAAATAAATGTGATAAGCAGTACGTTGATATAGGACGGAACCACATTATCTGATCGATTCTGGGTACGTCGAAGGGTGGACTCAGTATTTCAGAGAACTGTGAATCATACGGCGTTATGGCCCTGATCTTATGAATCAGATATTACCCGTGAAACCTCATGATGAGAGTATGGATTGTATATTAATTACACTCTTATTGTTTTAAGGGTGATAAAAGTATACTAACATTTTTAGAAACGCAATTATTAACCCTTTTTCAATTAGTTCCATATATCAATATTAAAAGTTAAAAATGTGTTAATTAAAGGAAGTTTTTATCATTGTTTACGGATAAATTGTTTTATATAATATAGCTAATGTAATTATCTTGAGTTATTACGAGTGATTCATTATTAAAATCGTTACCTTGAATCAGGTGCACGCGAAATGTTTAGCATGATATGAAAATAAACATAATGATAATGATAACGATTCCCCCAGCAGAAAACAGAATTTAAATTGCGCGTTCGTAATTAGCGATTAAGCAAATAATAAATATTCTAAGATAAATACTTTTTTGAATTCATAGGAGTAATGCTTTCACGAAAAGAATTTTGTGGGCCGCCGCAGTGGGTGAGTTTATCCAACTGGCTAGAGCCAGTAACGACAGTAGAATAAATGGTTAGTCTTGAAATTAACCAGACTGGAGAAGAATTTAATTAAATATGTACTTTCCATTTCAACCATACTATTTTTGAGATAATTTTCACGAATATTATCTTATTCAAAAATGGCCTGGCCTGAGGTAGGCATTCCGAAATATTTAGACCAATTTTGCCTAGCTGAAACCCTATGTGAAATTACGTGGACCATTACGTGGCCAACGATAAGGTAAACAATAATCTATTAATAGTCCACGTGTTGGAAATCGATAGTAACGTCAAAGCGCACGGCAGACTCAGCAAGGTCCAAGAGCAACTGGTCGACCTTCGCGAGGTTGTGATAACGAAGCAGTTTACATCGACGATCTCCTAACATTGCTTAGCAAGCTAAGCGAACATTTTTGGCGTCTATGATGATTTCTTTCTAAAATACAACTGTATCAGACTCAGTAGCAGACTCCATTCAAAGTTGTATTTTAATGTAACAAACATCACGTGACATGTGTCAGCATGTATCTATAAATACCAGCTTGACGCACATAAAGATGGGTTGTTTATTAGAGGAAGGGACAGTGGCCGGCCCGGATACAGGCCCTTCCGGTCGATCGGTTACGGACATTATTATTTATTATTAATAAAAGGCCTAAAGTTGTGCCGAAAGCATGCTATTAGTTATGCATAACAAAATTAGTCTACCAGCGAAAGAACGACGCCGACGTTTAAAATATGCGGAATTATTTAACAAATATTTACGTAAATAAATAATACTTGATGCTGAACTAGCCATATGAAATTAAAAATGAAAGTTTACATATAGCTAATTAATTCAACGTTGTTTCAATTCGGTGTTTACGCGCGACGATGAGCGTGACCCAGATCTTTCGGGTTGCCACAGTTAAATGCGGGGATACAAACAATTTATTTTACTTTTTATACTGCCACTTTTGTTGCCAGATTCACTAATAAAAAAAGTAATAAGACATTTATTTCAAATCCTACCAGAAGAAATCTCTTTGGAAATGTTTCAGCAAGCTCTATGCGCGACCAAAAGATGGCGTTGAATATGCATTAACTCGCGATGTAGGAGTTTAAATGCAACTGATAATATAATCTAGTCTGAATTAACCAAAACAGTATTATATTAGCAAAGATTTTTATGTAAAAAAATATCAGTTTGAAATAATTTAGAGGTGTACTATTTTATTAGTCCCGCAGAGTTGATAAAATGCATTTATTAGAGCCGTGATCTAGAAAGAGAAAAAAAACCTTCATGATTATTGAACCTTGAAAAAAATAAAAATATATACTTTGATGAAAAAAATTAATAATGTGTATTAATTCAAATATAAAAGAGTGCCTAATTTACCTTCTTTAATTTCTTATCCTGTGTATTAAAAAAGTTATTATGTCGCCAAAAAAAACTATTCTGTGTACAACGCCCGCGTATCAGACTGTTATCATCAGATTTCATATCAAATTATCATAAAAAATATTACTGAAGTTACTGATGGAAGTTATTCACCCGAGGAAGTCAATGCCACTCAATTTCTGTGTCATACTTCCTGATAAAACTATTTCCTACTTTTAGAACTAAAGTAAACAGAATTACTGGTAGGACTATAGATTTATACATTATTATTTATAACATGAAACTTATTTCATAGGTCGTAAAATACCTCAATAGAGAATTACTATCTACTAATTTTAGTTTAGTATTCACATTGTACACACTTTATAAGGAAATGTCATTGTCAAAAGGTCTTTGGCATTGTACACAGACAGCTCAGATGGCCTCAAGAGTTCAGGAAATCAAATTAATTTAAATATCTGTCCACACATTAAATAATTTATTGGTAAGAACACTAATTAATCTAACATTAAAAATTTAAAGTGGAATAAGATGTTGAATAGAAATCATACATTTGCAAACGGTCAATCATTGCTGCTATAAAACTAGTACCTACCTAGTACAGAACAATAGCTAGCAAGTCATGTTGATATTGATAATTTTCATCATTTCATTGGCTCAAAAGTAAATCGAAAAACTTACACCCAATAGCTATTTGGAATAGTTTGCATAACATCTTCAAATGTACAAGGAAAATATAAGGATAGTTTTTAGTCAACTTTTTACAATTAATTGATTGTCCTTCACGGTGAATTGCTGATCTATTATTTGCACTAGTCAGCTGACTTGATGCATTCAGACGTTTCAATTTCATTTATGAGGGCGGCACATGTAAAATCAACGGCAAGTTGTTTTATCGACACATAATTGGCAAATAGATAAAATACATTTTTAAGATTCCATAAAATTATAGTACATGCGGAAGTTGACATAATTTGGTTGCAATACGGACAGAATGAACTTTTGGGATATTGTTTTTATGTTTCTGCCGATTAGGGAATACTGCAGACAATTATCTGATTTTCACGAGGCAAATTACTAAGTGTAACACACAATTTAAGCTCTTAGTATACTATGTGCATGAAATTTAGTCACAAGGGGTTATATTTTCACTATTTAAATTAAACTCACACAATGTTGAAAAGGAACTTTGGTAACTCCAACAAACAAAAACTGATCACTTGTTTTCGGCGAAAGTTGACGTACACTACATGAATAATGGTCTCACAGCACAGGCTATCTACCTGATAGCATTATCAAGCCCTGATAGTGTATCATATCAGACAACATTAGCACAAAGAATCTCAACTTATATACACGTGACGTCACAAAACAACCACCCAACCCGCGAATAAACACACAACTAAGAAGATTACGCGGCCTAAATCTAAATACTTCGCAAGGCGCTGACGGGGCTACGTCATGCTCGCCCGCTATTTACTACGTTCACTAAACGGATGCGGCCTCATGAGGATGAAGGTCTATGAATACAGGCAAGTAGTGGCAACGGTGGAACTGTGCTGCGGTCCAGTAACTACATAGAAAGTAAGTGACAGGCAAAAAAATGCAACCAAAAACTTACCAAATGGTAATGATTGACTTATTGTGTATCCTTTCCTTCAACCACCTTATTTATGTTTGTATACATCGAGCATAATCAAAATTATAGCGGTCTCAAGTCGCACAACACGATATCACTTGGTTTACTGAATAATTTTGTTCAATTCTTGTCTAAACAAAACACTTTTTGACGAATTGACAAATCGTTTTTATTCGTGACGAAAATCAACATGTCCACCGTCAGCTCAGCTCATTTGATCAATCAAGTTAAATACTTAATAATTAAAAACTACTCACATTGAAAAATCAGTGTGGACGTAAATAAAGTATTATGAACTATAGAATTGATACTGCTATCACTAATTAATTACACAAAATTATTCATCAAGAACAAAATAAAAATAAACCGAGGAGTATCCACATAGCGGAAATGCTATTGACGTTTTGATCATATTGCCAACATACAGCTATGAATTCAACCCTTCTTTAGCAGCTCGTTAATTTCAATTGAAATAATTTCAGTAAATAATGCTACAGCTATTTACCAGACATTCATACATAATAATATTCACAATTCACACATTATCGGAAGACCATGACAGTGGCACTGAACTGAGGTGCTCTTGCTGCTCAACCTACAAAAAAAACTGAAGACTGTATAGTCCAGCGGTTCCCAAACTTATTTTGTCTACTGCCCACTTTGAGAATACATTCTTTTTAGCGCCCCCATTTGTAGTCGAGTGTCGAGTGCTCAGTCGGTATCTAACAGTCCTCCTAGTAAATGACGCCTCCCAAGCCTCAAGGGGCGTTATCGCCCTTTCCTTTTCCTGCAAAAGAAAAGAACTGAACAGAACAAAAGTGTTTCGGGTACGGCTAATGAACAAAATTCCAGGCCAGAAGAAATCAATAAAAAAAGTGTTTGTCACTGTCAATGTCATTATTGTCATTATTCTATGTTCATGTGTGTGTGGATGTTGTTTTTCGCTCGCCGCATGTGACAGTGGCAACACGTGTTTCAGGTGTTTAAGTGGAAAAATCAAATTCTAACGTAGTTTAACTCAAAAAAAAACTCAATTTTAAGCTTAGTTATTTTAATAATTAACAACAGGTGACGGATTTATCTGGTAAAACCGTAAGTAGAATGGAATTAACTCCTCCCGATCCCCCGGATCCTCCGGATCCGGCCTCCTGTTCAATGGACATTTCTCAACCACTGTTTTCCCAAGCCGCAACAAAACGCCGCCTGGATTCGGAGGTTCCTTCTGAACCCGCGAAGAGATCCAACAACCCATCTGCTGCAATGTCATCTCCAAGTAGCCAACCGGTGTACACGCACCCATCTCTTGTTATCGCACCAAAAGTCTACAGTGACCTTGACAAAGGCCCTTTTATTGTCCACGTGTCCCGCATCGAAACCGAGCCTAATGCCCCAACTTTCATCCAGCCAATTAGGTTTGGAAAATTTTTGGTCAATAACAAAATTAAGGACGTGATCAACGATGGTATCAAAAAAATTGGGAGAAACAGAATCTCTGTTGAGTTCACATCTGCCAGTGCTGCCAACAAATTTTTGAGTAGCGAGATTCTATCCCTTTGCAAGTACTCAGCAACAATCCCGACGTACAACGTGACCCGTATGGGCCTCATTAAACAGATCCCCTCCGATCTTCCAATGGAAGAGCTTGCGGAGTCATTGACGATTCCTGACGGATGTGGCATCCTGCTAAAAGCCCGCCGTCTAAACAGGAAAGTGACCACAGACGGGCAAGCGTCCTGGGTCCCCACCCAATCGGTAGTCGTGTATATAAATTAATATTAAAGTTGATATTATAATATCACAAATATCCGATATATTATTGATATTTATAATAAATATTTTCCGTATTTTCGAACCCTGCTATGTAGGTAGACCTTCATATTATTTAAAAAATTATAATACCTACACTCTCTATGGAATCACCCTATTTGTTCCAAGCCATCGTAAGAATTAAAATGACTATTAATAGTAGATAAATAAAAAAATTGAAACCGACTCCAAAAAACCTGCACTAAAAAAGTACAAAATAATAACGTTATTTATTTATTAGGACAAATATATTATATACTATGATTGATATTCTCGGAGTCGGTGCCAGCCTGCTCAGTGCCAAGGTCAAAAATTTTTCTAAATTTACCGGCACCGACTCCAAAAATATCAATAATCTATACTAATATTATAAATGCGAAAGTAACTCTGTCTGTCTGTCTCGCTTTCACGCCTAAACCACTGAACGGATTTTAATGAAATTTGGCATAGAGATAGTTTGAGTCCCGGGAAAGGACATGAGATAGTTTTAATCCCGGTGTATGAAACAGGGAAGCGCGCGCGATAAAGTTTTCTGTGACAGACAAAATTCAACGCGGGCGAAGCCGCGGGCGGAAAGCAAGTGGTTTATATTTTTGTCCTAATAAATAAATAACGTAATTTTTTTTCTACTTTTAGTGCAGGTTTTTTGGAGTCAGTTTTAATTTTTTTTGTTAATATTTATTTATTTCATACTTTTTAGTTGATTAGTCCTTGTTATTGTCACTGAAGATGGACAGTGCCTATGTTTAATAAGATTGAGACTATAGTTTTCCATTTTAAGTGTAAATAATCTTCCCTACAAAATACCTACTTTAAATATTGGGAACTAAAAAGTATCTCATCATCAGCTCACCTAAAAAACCTGAAATAATACAACTGTATGTACATACGTTCGTTCGTTCGTTTCAGCCAAATGACGTCCACTGCTGGACAAAGGCCTCCAAGGTTTTCCACAATGAACGGTCCTGCGTTGCCCGCATCCAGGCTCTTCCCGCGACCTTCACCAGATCATCGGTCCACCTAGTAGAAGGCCTGCCCACGCTACGTCTTCCAGCCCGTGGTCGCCACTCGAGAACTTTCCTGCCCCAACCGTTGGGGCAGAAAAGTTCTATAAGCTACGAGCTATGTGCCCTGCCTACTGCCTCTTGATTTTAGCAATTCTGCGTGCTATGTCGGTGACTTTGGTTCTCCTGCGAATCTCCTCATTTCTGATTTGAACACGCAGGGAATCTCCGAGCATAGCCCACTCCATTGCCCTTTGGGTGACCTTGAGCCTTCTTATGAGGCCCATAGTGAGCGACCACGTTTCAGATCCATATACTATCACTGGCAACACACACTGGTCAAAGACTTTTGTCTTGAGACACTGCGGTATTTCGGACGTGAGTATATCGAGAAGCTTCCCGAACGCTGCCCAGCCGAGTTGGATTCGACGATTGACCTCTTTCTCGAAGTACCTATCTAACTTTGAGCCGAGAATTCCCGGGAAATCGTTAGCCTCTGTTCCCGGGAAATCAATCTCGAGAAAAGTCGAGAACTCGAGAAATCATATACATATTATAGAAATTAAATCGCTGTTTGTTGTGTTGCGTGGCGGCGAGGACCATACCGCAGCGACACCCTTTGATCTCGCTGCAAACGCTCTGCGGCGTCGTTTTTACACGTTCATTCGTGTTTCTACTCTAGCCAAGTATAGTTTGTTTATAAATTCTAAATAACCAGCCAAAAATGGTGCTGTCATCACTACATAGTATAAAACAAAATCGCTTTCCGCTGTCTGTCTCTATTGTATGCTTTTTAGAACTACGCAACGGATTTTGATGAGGTTTTTTTGACTCAAGAGGAAGGTTTATAGGTATCAAACATATATGTTACACATATATTATGTTACAGTCAAAACTGATAATCGGTCAAAGCCACTTTCGATTGTAAAAAAGAGTCGCCAAATGCCCTTGGTCAATATTGCTTCTGACTGGTTTTTCCAGTCAAAAGTGGTTTTGACCAAGTGCGTTAGTCAAAACCACTTTTGAGTGCAAAAATGTATTTATCCGGCCGAACCAAATTGATAATCTACTTAACTTTTACCTGAGAATATCCAGATTTCTTAAAAGTAGTACCTAAGGTAGGTGTGTTCATTTTGTATGCACAAATCAGAAAAATGTTACACTTTAAAATGATTTTATAACACATTTTTATGATTTCTAAGTAATTTTCACTAATCCTAACACTTTGTATGAATTTTGACTGATTGGTAAAATTTTATATCAGAAACCACTTATTGATGGATTTTTGCACTCAAAAGTGATTTTGACTACGCGCTTGGTCAAAACCACTTTTGACTGCAAAAATCAGTCAAAAGTAGTAGTTTTTTAAATAATATGAGAAAACTTACGTAAATATAAAGAAGAACGGTCATCTGTGACCCAGGCCCGACAGAAACGAGACATACCTCAGTTTTTTTGTCATGTCTTAATTAGTTAAATTATATATTTTTTATATTCGAAATCTATGTATAACACTAAAATATTACCCTTTGTTTTTGTTCAGGCGTTATACAAAAACTAATACAAAATGCCTATTTATCACTAAAATTGGTAAATGTGTGTACCTAAATGTCTATTACAGCTGCTATGGAATGTATCTAGGTGACCTGGAGATACAGCCGGATTATACAGGGTGGAAACGAGAAGTTACAAAATCCAAAAATTCAATGTTACCAGCTTCCATAATCTGTAACCTATTATTGGTACAATTTGAAAGGGCTCGTGAAGCACTTTCAGAATCAGTAAATAGTTTTTCGATATCTTGTATAGTTTAGAAATAATCGAGTGAGAGCACTTATCGTTCCATATGTATAACCACCCTGTATAATCCGGCTGTATCTCCAGGTCACCTAGATACATTCCATAGCAGCTGCAATAGACATTTAGGTACATACATTTACCAATTTTGGTGATAAATAGGCATTTTGTATTAGTTTTTGTATAACGCCTGAACAAAAACAAAGGGTAATATTTTGGTGTTATACATAGATTTCGAATATAAAAAATATATAATTTAACTAATTAGGACATGACAAAAAAACTGAGGTATGTCTCGTT